AATTATTAATACCAATGTTTACATTAATTAACTTTATGTCCGAATAAAAATTAACTCCATTAGTACCATCATGGAAACTATATTTATACTATCATTAAATAACTAGCCATTCATAAATAATTTTACTATTTATTTATTTACCTAATAGAAAATCTCGTAGTATGGACAGAAATAATATGTTGGTAACACGTTCTAAGTTAAAACATCAAAATCAATCATATTTGTTTTCTTTTATGTATCTTTTTGTAAAATAAAATATTAATTAATATCTACAATTATTTTTATTATAATTTTCTTTCATCCCTTTTTTTGTAAATAAAATAGATGAAGAGAAAAAATTGATATCGATTTATTGGTTTATCATTATAGAAGTTATAGTAATAGTGACAATATTAATATTGCGATTAATAAATATCAATAAAGAGATAATTACATATTAATATGGCAAAATTAGTAATAATAAAAATTTGGATGAATTAAAATTATTACTACCTCTACTTTTACTTCAAAATTCATATCCACACCCACTACTATAAGTTAGCAGTAACAAATAGTTCTGGTATAATAATCAATGACTATTCAACTAAAGAACAACAGCTTTGTATTTATTATTTATTTTATATGAACTCCAATAATAAAATTTTTTATATTTATAATATATACGATATGTATGTATTCAATTAGCAAAACATGTATCAAGAAGCGAGATAAAGTATAAAAGTTCCATGATGTCATTTAATGGAACAACAAATGTCAAAATTGGTTATTGGTACAACATCAGCAATACATCCAATTTATGAAATAACAGTCATTAAAGACTTGTTATTCGGACACACACACACACACACATATATTAATTGCACAAATTCATTCATCGCCTTTACCGATTAATACATATATATTACCTTAAGATATAATTATATGAAAATAAATTAGCATATAAAACATTTGTTCATGATACCTTTGCTCCAAGAATGTTTCAAATATATCCAATTTTTAATGAAAAAGGCTATTACCTTCCTTTTAAATAATATTTTGTGTATTTTAAAGCATTTACTTACTTATTTACATGAAAGGTCTCAAATCATATTTTATATATTTTATACATTACATTTTGCGCCTCATACTTGTATAACCTGAATGGTTTACTGCAAACACGTGATAACGTATCAGCTTTTTTAGGATAAAATAATATAAAAAATTTATAGCATATCCGCATTGGTCCAGTGGTTAGGATTTCGCGCTTTCACCGCGACGGCCGGGGTTCGATTCCCCGATGCGGAAAATTTTTGGCGAAATTAAAATTTCTATCACTCTCTTAACTTTTCCATTTGATTGTTTTACAAAGTTCTCCGATTGTTGATCATGTCAAATAATTGGCACTAATTGTTACTAATTGTTACAAATCCTCCGAACACGTGACATTAGGAAAAATATTGTAAATAATGTGATTCTCAAATAGTGATAACAGAAACTCTGTATGTCCATTCAATGATTAAAAAATAAAAGACCAATAATACATTCAACCCCTCTAGATATATGTTATCATTCATTCCAAAGCTTGGGGATTAGAGATAAATACGCACCCTCTCCCCCCTTCACTGCACAGTCTTTTTTCATTCCCATCTACATAAAACTCCGCACACCCGTGACTATCACGTGATCTTTTCCAAATGAAAATGGTGTGACCGACGTTATAAATTAATTTGTTATGTAACAAAGAATTGATATTTTGTAAGAGATATAAAAAATTAAATTTTATACTTAGCAAATGATATAAAGAATTAAATTTATTATTAACAAGAGATGATAAAGAATTATTTTGTAACAGGCAAGTAAAGAATTGTTCACTTTATTAAGTGACAAGAGAATAAAGGATTATTTCTTTTTAATGGATACAAAGATTATTATAACAAAAGAACAAAAAAAGCAGACAGAGAGGTTTATGTAATTGAAATTAGACATGTATCAAGAATTTTATTTCATTAAAAAATAAAAATCTCTATTATAAATTAACCTTAATTCTTAACTGATTAATTCTCTTGATAGATATGTTAGTTTAAAAACAATAAATACAATGGAATCTTATCTTAATCAATAATTATGAATATAAATTTTTCTTGGTAATAATAATAATGGCAGTAGTAGTTTTTATTAGTGTCATGTACAACCAATGAAGTACTTTGTTTCTCTAAGTGCATGCTATCATTCATTCCCAAGAGTAAGGTCACTTGCTGAAACCTCTTAGTGACTGTCAAAGCTCTGTTGGAACTCTAATGAATAATTAGCAATACCTTGTCAAAACTCTGACAATTGACAAACCCCCCCTAAATGCGAAACTCTGCCAAAACTCTAATAAACAATTAATGTGGAACCTGTTGAAACTCTGTTGATTGATTTCTGGAGGAGTTTTGCCCACAACCTTACCCAAGGGGAGGCACTTAGAGGGGATTGACTGTAAAGAAATAATTGATTACCAAGCTTTTAAAATTTAAATTTACCATACCTTAATCATAACAACAAAGCATGTGCGCCAGTGTTACTGAGGGGGTTTATACTATAGGTGCTGCTGCCCAAATTAAAAATCAAGAGCCCAAATCCCAAATTACTTTGTACATCTCAAATGTAAACCAACCTTCCTGCCCCTGCTTTCCTAACCAATAAGCATCTAGTGTAACAAAATGGTCCCCACAAATCCTGGGCACTTATTGGTTTGGAGACAGAATACCATGGGTGTACAAAGTAATTTGGGATTTGGGAATTCTTTGATAGGTTGGTCCAAATTCACTTTGTACATTTGGGATGCCATAATTCCAATGATTTTGGATTTGGCAGCATGTATAGTTTATACCAAGTGAAGTTAAAACATGTAAGTACTAAAAATAAAACAAGCAAGTTAGCAAGAAGCTTATGCAAAAAAAAATCCAAGGTGTGACATTACAGTCAGGATTTTGGAAATTGATTATGGAAAAATCAGAAACCCCATGCTGATGGATTCATATATGTTACAAATGAGTTAACATGATAATTTGCTGCCTTATAAAAAAAAATTTTTTTAAAAAATAACAGCAAAATTTTGCAGATCACTAATTAAAATTTTCTGGACTCCAAATTTCACCCCCAACATAACCACCATTTATGTTGATATAAACTAAAATTGTACTTTTAACACATGATATGAAATCTCAAAGTTTAAATATACAAATTTTCAAAGGGACTTTCTTATAAAATATTTTATGTTTATATGTAGGAATTGCTGGATTCCTGTCTAAATTATTATATAAAATTTAAAGGTTTGAGTAAGCAACTAAAAATATTTATGATGTAAAAATGGTTGTAGAATTAATTTTATCCAAGAAAAATATAAATATGTTATTTCTATTTAGTTTTTAATAGTTACTCTTTTTAAAAATTATTGTGGTCATGTAATTTTCTTGACTCACATTGGTCACATGAGGTAATGTCAGATTCTCAAACTTCTGAAAATTATAATGTTTATTATTGCCACAAAAACATATTAATGATCGGCAAATTTTTGCAGTTGTTTCACAGATTATGAGTTTTCCAGAATTTGGTGTAACAAATAAAATATGGGGTTGTAGATCAATTCTTTGTTACCCAATTACTCATCTTTTTATTAAGGGATTGATGTTTCAATTTTGGTAAAAAAGACTTATACAGATGGCGTTCGATATAGTGAAGTTTTGTCTAGTACAAATTTGGAAACTATCTTCAGAAAAATTGAATTTGATTGGATATTAACGCAAATAGTTTCCAAATTTGTACTAGCCAAAACTTCACCATATTGAGCACCATCTGTATATACCTGGTTTTTCCTAGAAATCCTCTCTATTGCTGCGCCATATGCTCAAATTTCAAAAATTGCAATTTTGTGATTTGCAATAAACTTTTCAAAAAAGGTCTTCATGTGATTTTGGACAAAAATTATATTCCTTCCTGCCGAATTTAGATATGATTGTTGAGCACTAGACTAAATTTAGTAATTATGATTGAAAACTGTCTAAATTCAGCAATGATCCTAGTGCTAAAAATTCCTCATGGCCATAGTAAAGTACATGTTTTAAAAAAGAATAGAACTCTACAACAAATAATTTTTTTGAGAAAATCTTTCTATTACATTAAAATTAAAGACATATTCTATCAACTAATAGAGTTATTTTTTTAAAAGGTAGGACAGAAAGTGACTTCTATACTTTTAAAATTAGCCCAAAATTTAGGAGGTCTTTAGACTGAGCCAACTATAAAATACGGGGGAAATTTCATATTAAATGATAGATAAAAAAATCAAAAAGATCATAAAAAAAGTATCAATCTTGAAAAAACAATTTTTAATTAAATAATATGATTTTTGCATTCAATCTACAAAAATTATTTATCTGGGGATTTCTAATGAATCAATTTAATGACACGAGTTTCTGCCTTTATTTTTGATATTAACAAAGTTTTTTGTTGATATTTTTGATTTATTTATCAATTTATTAGAGAGTGATTCTAGTCAGACATAGAACAAAACATAGATAGATAAAGCATAAATACATATTTGTGGAATTATTATTACAAACATTTTTTTTATTTATAATATATCAACATAAGAAATAATAAAAAAATCAGATTTTTCTCAATAACAAAATTCTAAAAATCAACACATCACAAAGAGAAAAAATTTTTTTTTACATAATTAAAGCCAATAAAAAATACATAAATATGTTCTCTGAGGTTTATTTTATTAATGTACACAAAAAAATTATCTTGCGAGACAAAAGTATAGTAACTTTTTTTATAAAAGGTTACCAATTAGTGTTTTTTTCCCCCACCAATCACTATTTACTTATTTCACTGATTCATAGACATATTGTCAATTAAAAAATAAAATGACAAAAGTGACATACATAAGTGACAAAATCTCCAGGAAAAAAAAATTCCGACAAAAAACAAAAATTAGAAAGGCATATTCAAGAAAATGAACAAAAAAAGCCAAAATGTTCAGGAATTTCATACAAAAACATGATCTGTATATATTCTCAGAGACTACTCATGTTATTCCCCTAACATTAAATGAAGAACAGAGGAATAATAGAAGAATTTACAGTATTAAACTCTCTGACTTTCCTACAAGAACATCTGCAAGAGACTTGCATGATATTATTGCTGCACCCAAACAATTACAAGGTTTGTCATATGCTTACATGAGTTGTGAAACAGATGAAGATTTATTTAACGCAACAGCCAAAGATTACAACTTTATATTGGTGTGGAGATCACCTGATAACATGTGACCATAACAGCAGAAACAATAACAACTCGAGAAAATAAAATGAAAAAATTATACAGTAGATTTATACCTGTCCAACATCGTAAATTGCCTAAATCATATGCTGAAGTGGCCAAAGATAAAAATATCTCTCAACATATTAACAATGGGGATGAACAAAATACCTTAAAATGGCACTACAGCTGGAGGTTCAATGCATAAATGGAAAAATTCAGAATTATGGATTTCTTTGAGTTTGCATAGAAATAATCATCTGAATCTAGATAGAATAAAATTATAATGCATATATTTATAACTACAAACTTTCCTAAAAGCGTTTATAAAAGTATTTAACATTGGACTTGATGTTTTATACTTTCTAACCATGGTAGGCTCACAGAGTGAGATGGCACTATCTATCATAATCATTATGTTATCACTGACATCACTATCAAGATTGTCATCGTTTTTAAGTCTTTTAGAAAAAATTTTTCTAATCTAGAGTTAAGTCTTTTATTATTATCTTGAGATAGCAATGCATGGAAGTATGAGGTTTCCTGGTTTATAGATGTAATTATCTCTTGTAATTTCTGACAAATAACTTCAGACGTATGTGAATATGGGATGTGAGCCAATGATGATAAAGCTTTCTGTGGTTGATATTTATATGACAAGTTATTCCCAAATATCCATATTTGCCATGAGAAGTCCAAAAATCACTTGTTAGTGATATATGTTTAGGTTCTCTCTCAATTATTTCAATTGATAAATTTTGAAAATGTAGCTCTGTTATGTTATAGAGACTATAGTGGCATGCTCTGCAAGCCCAAAACAAAAAAATTCTTGTCTGTATGATGAGTTATAACAGTTTATGCAAAGGCAATTAATTCTCTTTAATTAATTAGGTAAATCGATTTTAACAATTGAAGATTTAAACCATTTATAACTTTGGAAACAAATATATAGCTACAAAAAAAATTAAAAATTTTAATTCCTAAGAACCATAACAGCACTATTTTTTTTTTTTTTAAATTTGTATTAATGGGAATCTGGAGTTTATGGCAAAAATTACATTTGCAAATACATCTTTCATTATTTAATCAGCTGTAATGCATACACTATCAAATGCTCAAGTACACTTGTTCACTCCCATTTGTCTTGTATTATGTGTCCTTAAAAAGAATATGTATGCGATGGCTTAAACATTTGAGGCGAGAAAGAACCTTTGGACTCCAATTCAATGTTTATATTCTTTTACACTAAATTTTCCATTAAAAATTTTTTCAAGGATATCTTAATCTTATTGTATTGATGAAAATTGAAAGTTAGGCAATAGGCCTTCTAAACATCACATGAAGTGCAAATAAAAGAATGATATTGTTGGTTTGAGGATAACTGCAATAATTGATCAAAAGATGCAATAACAGATTATCCGGTTATCAATAGACTTCATGCGGCAACATACATATTTTTTTGGCCGGTATAATGAAATTCACTTGGATTAATAAAAATAATTTATATATATATGTAGATATTAATTCATAAATATTATTATTGTTATTTTTTAATTCTATGATTAATTCCTTCTCATAATATATAAAGATTAACCTATTTATATGAGAAGGGAAAGAAAAAAATGTTAGTTAATATTTAGAAAATAATAACAACAATAACAATTATAGTATATTTACGGTAAGATTTTTGGTATCTAAAAAAAAAAATGAAAGATATCATAAATTAATATAAAAATAATATAGATATATATGTAATAATTTTAAAAGTCATCATAAAAACATAATACAAACCTTGCACGAGCACCAACACCACCAAACTTTTTAGGTTCACAACGACGAGGATCAGATACCAACAAGCTTCTGTCGTACTGAATCAAAGTATTTTTAATCTCTTTTTTTTGAGCCTCGTCAACATACTTTTGATAATAGGCTACAATAGACTTTGCAATAGCTTGACGAATTGCATAGATTTGCGAGGTATGACCACCACCTTTTACACGTACTCTAATATCAACTTTAGCAAATTTATCTTGACCTAAGATTAGAATTGGTTCATAGACTTTGAATCTCAAAATTTCTGGTTCAACTAAATGTAATGGTGATCCATTGATCTTGATTAAACCTTTGCCGGCTTTACAATGTGCCACTGCAGTTGCAGTTCTCTAAAAACAAATGAAATAATGATGATGATGATGATGAAGGTTATGAAGGATGAATTAGAAATTTTATAATTTAATAAATTTTAATTAAATTATTTGATGTTACTGTATCAATTATTACTACAAACCTTACGACCATAAGTTTGAACAGCTTGTACTTGTGCCATTTCAAAAAAAAAAACTAAATCAGAGAGATCTAGAATTAATAACGAATGAATATTTAGAACAGTAAAGGATTAAATAATTAATAGAACAAACTAACTGAGATCAATGAATAAATAAAGTTCAATAATACATACCTTCTTTTTCATTTAAAATGATGAAAAAAAGTTTTTTTATAAATGTCACATCTTTTATCAAGTATTTATCACATATCCAATTATAATCAAACTTCTGTGAAACAAACGGGAAAAATTTATCAACTTAGATCGTAGACAACAGTGAGAGTATGGGAAGTATGTTGATGACGAGGCATATGAAAATTATAAAATTAAAGGCTTGGTCCATTTCAACCAATCTACCTATCTACCTTTGTGCTGGAAACCATTAGATTGCTCACATGTAAAAAGTTGTTGAAGAGAAATAGAGCAAAAAAGGTCATATATGGAATATTTAATAGCGTGAGTAACTACCAATTGGCATTTGAAGGCATGGAAAGTTATTGAAAATGTACTCTATGCTTTTGGTAGAAAATGCAGTCATTTGCATCATCCTGATTCCAGTTTTAACGGAAAATTCTGATTTAAAAATTAAAAATTAAAAATTATATAAATATGTAAATGAACTTTAGTATATAAGATATTACATAACAATGAATGAAATTTATATTAGAATAGTCATCTTTTAGAGTAACATCAGAATATATAGATTTTGCTTTAAATAATTTTATATATACAGACTCACATGCAAAAAGGAAAACATTTCTTCGAACAAATCAGATTAGTCTTGATTTAGGATCCAGAAACATAACTATTTCATAAAGAAAATTCATAATTATGACAGAATGTTGGATATAAATTGACAGGTTTATTTGGTTGATACAATTGTATTGTTTAATGACATATAAACATGTAAATAATTTGAAACTACAACATTGCACATAATAATGAGAAATTTATATTAGAATGAAATTCATTTGAACCCTGAAATACTTGGTAGTATGTGAGTCACACTAACACTTTAAATAAAAATTGATCAACTTTAAAGCTAGATAAGTCACATATAAAATTTTCTCGACAATAGGTTCCAGAACTAGTCAATAGCTATCAAATATCATCTCTATTTTTTTTCAGACAAGCATTTAATATTTTCCTATTTAGATTTAAAGTTATTTGATATGTTAGGGTGACCCGCACCATACAAATTAAAATGTTCATTTTATTGCAGTATGCCCAAATGTGCATCATTAGAATCTCTTTTCTCCCTTGCTCTGTCACTCGCAATTAAGAAATCAACATTTGATAAATAAAATGTAGATCACGTCAAACATAAGAAACAACAGTATCATTTTCGTCAATCCAAGTAATAAAAGTAATAAAATTCTACAAGATATTATACATATCTTTACATGTTCAATAAATTTCATACTGTTATACAAAAGAATTTGCTCAATAAACGATGAACTATCACTTGGATATTAAATATCAATTAATTCCCTTTAACGAATGTTTTCTAAATTTGTAAAATGAACCAATTTCCTTCATTTATTTGTCAAAATTAAAAATTTTGACCAGTGAATATTAGACGCGTTTGTCACAGTACAAATATCTAAGTGAGTGAACTACAACTTTAAATTCTTGATTATAATTGGCTTGGGAAATTATTTTCTACAATCATTGCACATAAGCCCGGTAGTTTTCCTACTTTTCCCCTTCCTTTTGTTTATTTATAATAGCATTTATACACAATTGTAATTATTATTTATACCTAAAAAGCATTGGGCATTATTATACACTTCAAATTATACACACATATATAACAATCACTTGTTTTTATTAATGTAATTAATAAAATGTTTATCACACAAACTAATTTATTTTTTACATTTTCACCACGTTCTCCAAGGACATACTTCAACCAATATTTCAAATCCGTCAGAATTAATTATGAATTAATCTTATGTGGGTCTTGAGATGGCTTTCAAGATCGGTTTTTGGTTTAACATTGAACAAAGTGTAGTCATCATGAAATTAAAAGAGACAGATGAATTAATCAGAGGATATTTTATTCTATTTGTTGGAATATAAAAGAAAGGTTTCCATATGAAGATTACTGGATTGAAATAGACAAAGGCTTTATTTTTAAGATATATCAAATCATATTACTAATTCATTATTGGGAAACTTTTTCTAATATATAATTTCACAAAATGATAAAATGCTTCAATGATTTAGACATACATATGCAACAATGGCCCTTGTTGTTATTTAAGCATCATAATTATTATGAAAACAATTTGAATCTCATGAATAATAAAAAATATCATTTTATTAGAAGAATTTGAACAAGAAATTCAAAATTTATCATTTTTTTTTTTGTTATAATAATCTTATTTACAAGATTACAACAAATCAATAAATAACTATATAACAATATTATTAGATTCATGTCAATAAAAATTTAACATTTTCATAATACAACAATAAAGGATTTTCTCCACTTGAAGTTTTAGTTTTGTTTAAATCTGCATATCTCTCCATAAAATTTTTATGTGTCAAGATTTTAACTTTTTCATCCAATGATGACTTTGATGAAAAAAACATTAATTGATACAAATCTTTTAACAGTTCAAAATTTATTGGGAAAATAATATCAAAATATCCGGGTTTAACCAAATAAGTTGAACATGGAATCATGGTTTGTTGAAATCTTGTTTGAACAACTGGTGCATTATCTCCTATTCCACCACCACCTTGTTGTGAAATTGAATTTGTTAACTTGTAAAAATCTGATATGATTAATCGATGCTTTGGAAAATAATGCTTTAATACAATTAGGAATTGTAATAGTTTTGTTTGTATGAATTCTGATTGTGTCATATTATAGGCAAATGGTAATTTGTTACGAAGTTTTCTTAATAGACGGTTTTGTAATACTGGTGACTTGTAAGAAGTTTGATTCCTTATTGAGAGGAGTTTACTGATTAATGGATCATTAATTGGTTCATAAATTTCTTCAAAATCTCCCTCATTGTCTATTACCACTACACCTTGTAATGGTTTCTCATTAACTGCATCGTATCTAATTACATCATGAGCAAAATTATCCTACATAAAGTTTTATTTTTTTAAGAAAATTTGAAAATTAGTTTAGTTGCAAATCAAATCAAATCAAATCAAATGATTCTAATTTTATTATTATACATACCAACACTTCACAAGCCAAGAAAAAACAATTTTCATTAACAACTTCACACCAATCAAAAATATTTTTATTAATAATCTCTATACAATCATGATGATTATTTAATGTTTTTGCTGCTGCATCTTTTCCACCACTACTACCAAGAAAACCCACTCTTTGATTTTTATTATTTTTACTTTTTTGCATTTCAGCAGCCAATCTATGACTGATTTCCACAACTCTATATTTAGTTTTTTTATAAATTGCTGGTTCAAATTTCTGTAAATAATCCAATATATTTAACATTAATGTTCCATTACCAGCTCCTAATTCATAAATTATTAAGTCATTTTGAGGATTTAGATTATATTCTGTTGCTATATATTTTGCTATTGAGTAGCCATACCATGGCTATATACAAAGAAATCACATATAAAAGGAAAAAATAAATATATGAGAAAAAGAGTTAATAATTATGATATATATATTTTTTTAATTTTAATTAATCAATTACCTTGAATAATTCAGTAGGGGTATGCCAAATTTGTTTAAGAAATTGTTTATCTTCTTTCTCTAAGTTATTTTCGAATTCTTGATACAGTTTACCAACAACATTTAAAAATTCCAAATTGTCTTTTATTTCATTAAATTTAACAACATCATCATCTGGAGTTGAGAAAATTGCAACGTTTTTTGAAAAATATCCATAATTCGGATTGTATAATGAATCATCAATAAAATCTCTGACTAACATTGTGCATGACTTTGGTGGTTCTTTATAATTTAGAATGTCATAGGATGTTAAACGTGGAATATTGAATCGATTTTTTTGATTTGGTGTAAATGTTGATAACAAGGAGGAGGAAGCACGGGTACAAAAGGTAAATTTCTTGGAAATTTTTTTATAAGAAATATCTAAGAAATTTGATGAATTTCTTAAATATTTTTTGATGGACATTTTTTATAAATAAACCTTTAGAAAATCTTTTATTTTTTATATTAGAAATTTTCTTATGAGAAATCCCTAAATATTTTTCAGTAGACATTTTTTTATATAAAAAATAAAGATTTTTTAGATATTTCTAAGCATTTTTTTAGTAGGTACTTTTTATAATAAAATCGTTATTATTATTGATTAAAAATATTAATATAGCAAAAACGTACTATTTAATTATAACGCATATATATATAACAATAATTCATTTTTATTAAAGATTAAACTTTCTATTTAAAGGATTACCACAGTAAAAGGAATTTATGTCCAGGAAGAGTATAACTTCCTTTTACAAATTTACTAAAAATTCTTTGTACTGGAAAAACGCTTTCTAAAGTTAATGTTTTTATCTAAACTGTCCCAAGGTTCCACATTATACATTTTTTAACAAGTATCTTCCTGTAATTCCGATTCTATATGGAACCAATCTCTCTCTTTAAGTGGTTTAAATCAACTAATATAACAAAGAGTATGTTCTGTTATCCCCCCAAGGAAGCTTTACAGAATGCTTAAAATAATAATTAACTATTCCTGGATAACAAGCAACTTCTTGTTCTCATTTAAAAATTGTGCAATAATATAAGCATTAAGATCTGATTTACAACCTACTGATGAAAATATTTCACCTCCGAGTTTAAGAAATTTTCTTTTTATCTCTTAATTCGTGATACGTGATAGAAGTAGATAAAATCTATATGTCGATCTAGTGTAAAAAATCGACGAATTGAAATACCTTCTCTCCAATATGACAAAGATATTCCACAAACATCCACATGATGATCTACAAATTTCCTTTTTTTAGCCCAGCCCAAAGGTTCGTTATTATTATAG